AAGATGTTGAGGAAAGTGCCAAATTACCAAAGGGTCTTGCCTCCTGACACTTTTACTCTTTATGCAATATTCACTAAAATGGGTTATTCATGTCCCTCAAAACCAGACTTTATGCCTTGCCCCTGGATTACAGGAAATGCTTGTCTGGTGTTATTTAATTAAATAGAATCGGAATTGTCGTTTTAATTTATTTTTTGTGATAGTTAAGAAAGCAAAATGATTTTAGAAGGTTCTCCCAGTTTACTGTTTTAATTTGCCCGAAATGGTTGGGTCTCGGGGAGGGGGGGGGGGTATAGAGTTTCATTATTTTCATTAATGGGAAAGTGCTTAAATATGGAAAAGTGAAGGCCGAAGGCAGAGGAGGTGTTTTTATTTCATTAAATATTACCCATTTGTCCCACTTTTTGACCAATGGTTCTAATCCATTACATACACCATAGTGCTCCAATATTTAAATTTCTACACGCTGTTATTTTTATCGGAATGTTTTCGGAGTGCTTCAGCTCTTTATAGTGTGTCGTGCCACATTGCCAAGTACGATTATGATTATGGCAATGGTTATTGCGAAGTTTTTATCCATAAATCACTTTCATTGTCATTTTGAACGCTCAATTTTATCCTCTGCCTCGATCCCAATTGTTCACTCTTTTCATTGAGCAGTGTATTTGTTACTAAAATTAGTCAACGTAAATAGTACCTATGACCCTAACTACGTCTCTGCTTTGATTATCTCTACCTAACTATCCTTATTACTAGCTCCCAGTTGGACACAATAAATGGAAGTATTATATATAACTTGTGTCAAGGTTCCTGTAACTCCTGATTTATCTGTCTATGTTAATAGTAAATAGCTTAATGGAGTTTATAGCTGCCATATTAACAATCAACTACTAACTATAAATTGATTCTGTTATCAGCTCGCAGCATTGAGTATACAACATATTCTATTATTCCAGCCTTTGACGAAAACCCCCTCTCCCATCACTGGATTCAAGGCGCTGTGCCCCGCATTCGCGCAGCTTTCGAGCGGGCACTGGAAGTGACCTCCAATCCAATGCTTCGTTTTGGTAACCAATTGCCTTGTCTGGCTCTAACTCTAACGCCAACATTTTGGACTGATCATCTTCGAACTGTTCTCTGGTCTGCCTACATGGCATTTGAATGGGCTCTCGCTGGTGGCGCGGCTTCAATCAGTGGTTCAGATGATCCAAATTCGAACAACTTTGATGCGCATAGGAAACAACGAGATGCTTTCAAGGCAATATTCTATCGGGCGATCGAAGATTTGCCATGGGCAAAGGTAGCTTTTGCAAATAAATTATTTGTCAGTAATAGTCACTTGAGGTTGGCTGATGTCTTCTTCGTTTCGATTTGTTTATGATCTTCGAAGTTAGTCTCCTCTTCGTTTCTCAGTTGACCTAGAACTTTGTTTTTCTCGACTTCTATTTCTCTCCGATACTGTTGTACTACTTTGTATCGTTTGTGAGTATTGCCGGACATCGGGCTACTTAACATAAAGCTTTTTTCTGTTTGTTTAACAGACACTTAAATCCGACACTAATTTCCCATTGTGTGTGTCGGCAACTCTCAATTGCAGTTATGTGATTAGTACTTACTAGAGCTAACTAGAAACTGCACAATAGGCTCTTGTTAGTTTGAGTTTATTTTTGCTGGATTTAAGCGAATATTCATCAAAAGGGAGATCGGAAAAGCATTCTTCATTTTACAGACGTTTTGAGGGAATGCGAAAAAGGACGGAGAATTTAAACATTGACGCTATTTTTGTCTCCTTTTGTCAGGGAGAGTATGCATTTTAGTGATATCAAATGAGGGAGCATGGGAATAGAATACTCGCATAGTGTCCGGTCAGCGAAAATCGATTTTTATATTTTGCCTTTTAGGTGCTTTACACTGATTTGGCTCGGTACTGTCCAGAGGACGCCGAGGAGGTGGTGGAACTTTTGACCTCAAAAGAACTGCGTCTGAGAACCTACTTGGAGGAGATTGATCTTCTATTCTCCTCAAAAGCTCCTTGAGCCATACTAGATTTGTATAGTTTTGTTTACCCTTATTATTATTATTGCTGAAATGAATTTATTACTTATTGATACTTCTTCTTTCATCCCCTAACACATTGCTTGGTGATCTATTCAAGCGAATTTTTTATACTATTCGGGTCGGAGAGTTGGACATATTTAGGGCTTTCCAAACAATACTGAATGAAATGGACTTTTATTTACTGTTCTTATTTTCATTTTTTCGAACTGTTACATTCTAAATGATCAATATTCCATATATGTTAACTTAATTTGAAACGCAAAATTACTCTACTGGGAATATCATTAAGGCGTTTGTGATTATTTTAAGTTTATGGTGCCTGCACCTAGAAAACTCTTCTGGTTAGTCAAAGATTATGAATTTTTAGTTCATCAACTCACACATGGTGAAGTGAATGACCAACATCTGGCTAATACTTGTCAACTAAAGTAGGGGGGGGGGGGAACAGGGAGGTGGTATAATCAGAATTTCTCATGAAATAATTTCAGAATATCGCTAACACTTCCCATTTTTCTACTTTTATAGCTTTCAGCACAGTTTTCTTAATTTTTAGTGACATTCTGAGCTTTCCGTGGTCGTTCCGAGTTCACACAAGTTCTCGTTCCTAATAACTTTAACTGCTTCATTAATATTTATTTATATCAAACGGCGGGCGTTTTGATAGTTACCGTTAGCCCTTTAGTTGACTTCAGGCTTCACAGAGGGGAAGGAACATCAAAGTGAAAAAAGTCGAGAGGGGGGAACAGAAGAGTGTTTCAAAGATGCAAAAGAGACAGACACAGAGATAGGGGAAAAAAGTGAGGTGAGTACTGTGAAAGTGGTCGAATATGACATACAGTGGGTTGATGGTAGTTTGAAGTGAGAAGTCAATTACCGACTGATAGACATTTTTGCCGTATGAGTATACGTTGCCCAGGGTGCACCACGTGGAAGTATGTCTATCGCACACCCCGCTTCATTAATACTAGTGAATTCTTTTAGCCTTAAGTGCCTTCAGGTTGAATACTCCAAGAAACCGAGTATGTGGCCACACTTCTAACATATTTCTTGCCCAAAAGTTAGGGCTGCTTTGAAACATACTGCATTTGATGCAGATCTGGAAATTGGGCATCATCTTCAGAATGAAATTTTTAAGGCTGAATGTGGAAAAATAACCTCCGCCTTCCTTCATTTTATCATCCAATTAAAACTCAGAAAGGAAATATATTAACAAAATCATTCGACCTGATGGGTTCTTTGTTTCGAATGATCGCCACGTTTTAATAGCCTTTGGGATTTAGAATAGCTTGTTAGAATTGAGAAAGGAATTAATATTTATAAACTCGGGAGTTGCAGTAACTAGAATAGAACGTGGTTGAATTTAACTGTAATAGGTATTGGATTAATGTGAAACACCTTCACATTGGAATACTACCGTCTAGTTTCGTTCTCCTGATCCACTATAAATGCGGTCACCATCTTATGATGTGGAAGGAATTGGATCTTCATTCATTTTCCTTGTTGCCGAATTACAAAGTAAATATTTATTGCCAAAATCAACTCAACTTTTTTGTAGTTAAAAACAGGCTAGCGTATCAGTCATAACCCGACCTCGTGATTAATTATCTCATTAAAATTGAACATAACTTTAACATTTATAGCTTCTCTCAGGCTTTCATAGACAAACTTCCATCAAATAGACCGAAAGCATACACAATGAACAACAATAAACAAATGACTAAATCTTCCAAATACCAGCTTGAAATTCAGCAAACGGTAATGAATAAGAACACAGGATTAAGGAGAAAGGTAAAAAATGGAAATCTACTTTAAAATACACTGAATAATGGGAGGACGAAACGAGAAGTCACGCTACGTGAACAATTTGATGGTCGCAAAGTCAATGAACAAAATACGTTCGACAAAAAGAGTGTCGAACGTATTACGGAAAATAAAGTGGGGGTGAATTAGTAAGATAAGGGGGGGGGCAATTGGTCAAAAAGAATACTTAATTAAAGATTTAATCCTCCGCGATTTTGATTCTGCGTCTTTAAAGTGCATGCTGAAAGTGAAGACGTGCATTCTTCTCAAAGGAATTATGTTGGAGGGGTCTTGAAAAAGCTGATTTAGGAAGCACATTCATTGTCTAAAAAATATTTTCATCAACGAGATCTAGTAGAATTATGCTATCTTATTGAGATCAAAATATTTAGCACTTTGTAAGGAATTTCACCACCGCAAAAGTTAATATGCATTACATCAAGTCCCCTCCAGCTTGAATTCATCAAAGTTGGCAACCACATATTGGTGTTGTTTTCAAAATTTTTAATATCTCGTGTATATCTGAGGAGATTAAAAGAAAACCATTGATTTGTTTTCGATAGCAACAATTCTAATTGTGACATATATGACCTATTACTGGCTACGCTCACTCTTACCTTACCTAAAATAGCAGTCATTAATTGCCCCAAGACACTCTTAAACGAGTTGGCACAAGTTTTATTCAGCAGAATATTTCACTTCGATGAAATCTGCTATGGGAGCACAATTTGTTCAGGTAGTCAGATACGCCACTTTCTTCTAGTCACTGCAATTTCACAGTATCAATTGCAAGCCTCCACTTCAAGCCCCATTCCTTCCACGCTGTACAGGGAACAGTGAACAGCGAACAATCACCAAGACCTCATCAATGTTTTTCGTCTATTCGTGCAAGTCATCATGCTTCAAGTGGGTTCAGCCACCATCCATTCACCTTATCATCATCATCATCATCATCTACATAGCTGTTGAAAACTTTCAA